CAGGAACCTCTTCTCTTGGTGTTTGTAGCATTTCTGTTAATGTACAGGATTAAAGTTATAGTAGGTATTTAGGTATTTAAAATAGTACTGTTTGGTTTGGTTTGGTTTGATTTGGTTTTTTTGAGATAGGGTTACTCTGTGTAGCCTTCGGTGTCCTGAACTCGCTTTGTAGACCAGGCTGGCCTTAAATTCAGAGATCCACCTGCCTCTGCCTTCCCGAGTACTGGATTACAAGTGAAGTGTGCGCCATTCCACCTAGCTTACTTTTTTTTTTTTTTTTTTTTTTTGAGACAAGTTTTTATAATGGTGTAATGGCTTCAGAGTCACTATGTAGTAAAAGCTGGCCTTGAGTTTCTTAGTCTTCTGATTCCACTTCCCAAGTATTAGAATTAACAAGCTTATGCTGGCTAATATTTTTATTGTTGGCTAATATTACCTGGCTAATATTTTTATTGTTGTTGTTTATTTTTCTAATTTTATGTACATTGGTATTCTGCCTGCTTGTTTGTGTGTGTGAGCGTGACACATCTAGAACTGGAGTTACAGACAGTTGTGAGCTACCATGTGGGTGCTGGGAATTAAACCCAGGCCCTTTGGAAGAGCAGACAATCCTCTTAAACGCTGAGCCATCTTTCTAGCCCCTAAATATTTGTTTGTTTTGTTGTTTTTTTCGATATAGGGTTTCTCTGTGTAAGTCTGCCTGTCCTGGAACTCGCTCTATAGATCAGGCTGGCCTCAAATTAAGAGATCCACCTGCCTCTGCCTCCTGAGTGCTGGGATTACAGGTGTGCACCACCACCTGGCTGCTATCTTTTATGTTTAATAGTAGTATGTGCTAGTGCTTTCAGATTATCATTGCCTATTTACAACTCGGTAAGACTAAAAGCTTGCAGCTGTTATCCAGAACACTGTCCAGTCTGTTCTGGCAAGGCTACTATCATTCAGGAGGTTACCGGGTAGGTGGATATTTGAGTCCCTGTGGTTGCTCTCAGTATACTCTTTTTGGGGAAGCCTAAGGGAGAGGGTGCATTTCTGAAGTCAGAAATGAGGCTGAGGGGCAGGTATTTTGCTTGTGAATTTCAGGTATCCTATGGTCTGAAGCTGTCTTCCTGGAGGCAAGGCCCCAAAGAAAGACCAAGAGTGTGGATGCCCTGAAGAAGTGTGAACATGACCCCCATGTGCTTTTAGCGGTGGCTAAGTGAGTACTAATTCTCTGAGGGTTATTCATGCTTGGGGTCCTGGTGTATTTGCCGGCATTTTTGCCTGTGCTTTTTGCACAGGACGAGCTGCTGGAGCCCCTGCTTCAGTCCTCTGGGCAGCACTCTCTTGGTAAAGGCCCTGAGGTGCTGTCTAGATATTTGTCTAGTCACTCCCTCGTCTCAGACCTCCTGGGTTCTTTGGTTTTTCCTCAGCCCCAAGCTTCTGATGAGACTGCAGCCCTGGCAGTTGAGGGAGATGTTAGGGCCCAGCTTTGCTAGGCCTTCCTTTCCCAGAGTGTCATCTGTGTGTCCTCAGACAGAGAAGCCATAAACCTTACAAAAGGCTTTGTTAAAGTAAATGAGTCACTCCTTGCTGTTCCCAAGCCAGTGTTCCATGTGCCTACTATCTTGAGTTTATGCTCTTTAAATCACAGTTTATCTAACCCCAAGCAATTAAGAGCACTATATGGCTTAAAAAACAATCAAGTTATCAGCATGAAATTACTCCATTTGGTACCTGAGTGCAACCCAAACAGTTGCCTGCAGTAGAAAGGTTAGCTGTGCACCAGCTGCCCCGCTCAGGGAAGGTGAATACAGCCAAAGTCCTGGCCCTTCCAGAGTTCCCTACAGCACACCATGCCATCTTTCCTGTTGTTCACCCTGCCACACTGCACCAGCTACTAGGTGGGGAGGAGGGTGCCCATAGAGAACTTAAGTTGGTGTCTTTTGTTTGTTTTGTTTTTTTTTTGAGACAGGGTTTCTCTATGTAGCTCAAGCTGTCCTGGAATTCGCTCTGTAGACCAGGCTGGCCTCAAACTCAGAGGTCTGCCTGCCTCTGCCTTCTGAGTGCTGCTATTAAAGTTGTGCACCACCACGCCCACTTCTAAGTTAGCTTCTAAATGTAAGACTCCTCTTCATCCTGCTTTTCAAGTGTCTAGAGTGTCAGGTATAACAATCATGTGTACCATGGTCTGAGTGCCATGGAGCTGCAATTCCAGTGGGCCCAGGTCCTCAGGACTGACCTTTGGAGCCAATCTTTGTTTTTGCCTATGTTGCTACAAGGGGTAGACAAGGCGGGATAATAGTCCAGGGTTGGTATCTTATTAAGGAACAGTCTAAGATTTCAGTTTTGTTTTTTTTTTTTTAAATCAGCCTTAATTAATGTTTGTCAAGGTTAGTTTCATATAGTTGATCCAGATAGTTTTAAAAAGATAGTTAAGATCTAGCCAGGCAGTAGTGGTGTATGCCTTTAATCCCAGCACTTAGGAGACAGAGGTAGATCTGTTACTTCGAGGCCAACCTGGTCTACAGATCAAGTTCTGGGACTGTTACACAGAGAAACCCTATCTCAAAAAAGAAAAAAAGAAGGAAAAAAAAAAAAAAGAGGAAGAGGAAGCTAAGATTTTGCTTATGTACACATAAATGTTGTAAAAAGCAGTGTGGATTAGTGAGGGATCCAGAGTGAGCTATAGGTAGCCCTGGACCATGACTCGGACCTTCTGTAACACAGGCCTAGGCTTGCTGGTCTTACCAGAAGCAGGCTACAACTGAATACCCCCACAGAAGAATAGTGTCTCCCAAACCTGGCAGACACTATTCTGTGCCCCTTGCTGTAAGTACCTCTTCCATAACAGGCTGTTCTGGAGTGAACGAAAGATCACCAAGGCCCGAGAGTGGTTCCATCGTACTGTGAAGATTGACTCAGATCTGGGGGATGCCTGGGCCTTCTTCTATAAATTTGAACTGCAACATGGCACTGAGGTGAGGCTACAGTATACCAGTGTACAGTAGTACCCTGCCTATTCCTCTAGCCACTTCAGAGACAATGGAAGGCTCCATTCCAACCCTGGGAATAGGGGACAGGGAGGGGCCAAGACCAGAACCTCTCCCCAGTTGAGCTTTGTTGGTGCTATGCTCATAAGGCAGGGGTGCCCAGATTGTCCTGGGGTCCTCACTGGAAGAAGTAGCCAGGCCATGTTGAATCCTGAAAGTGCCTAGTTCAGAGACGATGCACCTGGCATCCGATGCACCTAACTCCGGTTAGGAGTCCGACACAAGTCAACACAGAGAAGCACTGACTTGTAGGACATGTTCCACAAGCGGAAGAGATGGCTTGAAATCCGTGTTGGGGCCAGATCTGCAAGGGGACAGGCAAGGCCTCACGAGGTGTACACCTCACAAGGAACCCCACCTAACGTACCCTTTGGTCTTTCCAGGAGCAACAGGAGGAGGTGAGGAAACGCTGTGAGAATGCAGAGCCCCGGCATGGAGAGCTGTGGTGTGCTGTGTCCAAGGATATCACCAATTGGCAGAGGAAGATTGGGGAAATCCTAGTGCTGGTGGCTGCCCGCATCAAAAATACCTTCTGATAGCAAGGGTGGAGGGCAGGGCACTTTGGGGCAGCACATGGACAATGAGCACAAACCGTACATTATCTTTCATTCATTAAAGATTTTTATAGAGCTGTGTTGGGGCTAGGACCTCTTCTTTTCTCCTTTTTTGTCCTTGGCTTTTATTCCCCATGAGTGGTTGTCAAGTCCAGATGTAGCCTCCTGCAAGTGCTTGTATGTTCCAGAAGAAGCATAGTTGGGGTGCTGAGGGCTTGCTGAGATTTTGTGGAGAAGGTGTTGGGAGTACAAGCTATATGGAGAATAGGAGCTCTGTCACAGATATGTGATACAAGAGGCTGAAGATCACAGGGCACCAAGCTGTAAAAGATTGAAAGGCTTGTAGAAGTCCTCATTGTTCTGTGGGCATCTGAGGTAAAATGAAGCTCAGCAGGCATCTTTGCTTAACTTGGACGGTATGAGCTCACTCTTCTGTGGTTCTAGGAACCAACTCCTTAGGGTTCCCTATGATGAGGATACCCAGCAGTTCTTTCACAGATGGAAGGGGACAGAACTTGACTACAGCATCAGGCTGTTGGTGGTTTCTACTTTTGACTGTTTTCAACTCATGAACTGAGTGGAGTGGCATTACAGAAGAGGGTACTTGGATAAAGTTTCCTGTAAGGCTCTGGAAAAGTCTGGGTAGCCTGTACTGTCCAGGTTATCTTTTCTATCTGTAGAAATGGAGAATTTTTGTTGTTGTTGTTGCTAAGGTGGTCAGCAGCTCCTTGTGTATCACATTTATTTATTGGGGTTCATGTATGCCACAACATGCTTGTGGAGGTCAGAAGATAACTTACAAGAGTCTTTTCTCCTATTATGTTGGCCCCTGGGATCAAACACAGGTTGTCAAAGCTTGGCAGCAAATGCCGTAATCTACTGGGCCATCTCCTCAGCCCACACCATTGCTTTTCTTCAGCTGGAAGTTGAGCTTTGCTCAGCAAGAGATTAGCTGTGTTCCAGAGGCTACTGTTGTGCTAGAGCAAAACAGCAACCCTGGAACTGGGGCTTCTACTTCCAGGTGACCCCAAGATTTGGAGGGATGAAGCAGTGCCAACAGTGCAGATGTGGAAATGCATTTAAGACTGGTGGCTGCCCCGCCTATCAGGAGAGACCACTGCCCTCTGCCCATCGAGACACAGCAGGGTTCTCCATGGGGATGGAGACTCAACCCAAGATCCCAGGAAGCCCAGGATCTGCTGCAACAGGCAGCTGCTGTGCTCCAGGGTCAGGTTAACTGAAGTGACTAGGGAGAGGCTGGGAGGGGTTAGGGGCAGGACTGGCTTATTAGATTTGCCCTTCCTCCCTTGTTGCTCCCTCCCTTTGCTGGAGGAACCAACTTTAAAAGCCTCTCCACCTGCCTCTCAGCTCTGTCCAAGGAGGCCCCATCAGTCAGTAGAGGTGGTGTGGCTGCCTTGCCTGGTTCACTGGCTACCGAAGGACTCTGGATCATGTGTGTGGCCTGCTAAAGGGAATAAGGGAGGGCCAGATCCTGAGAGGCTTATGGTGAGCAATTAGGGCATTGGGGGAGAGGGCTGACCTGGGCCAAGGGGCTGGGCTCGGGCATAACCCAGGGGAGGCTATTTCCCTGTGCCTTGTGGGACCCCAGATGTTTATGATGGTACCCAGCAAAATGACCATTGTAGGTGCTTGTGCCCTGGCCTTCCTAGAGCCCTTCCCTCTTATACTGGGTAATGCCTGGGTTGTAGGGACACCCTGGGCAGCCAACCTGTCCCATGTTGGTGCTGGATGTCCCAGCAGTCTCACTGGCTGGCTTAACTGGCTCTTGTTCTTGTGTGGTCTGATGGGCTGTTTTCAACACCCCTCCTTTAGTCATGCTATCCAGTGACTTTCAAGAGGGTGCTACTACGTTTGTTCTTTAGTTGTTGGTAGCTCAGGCAGAAGTCCCCACCCCCACTCATCTCTATACAGGGGTTTGTGCTATGTTCAGTTCTCCTGCCAGGGCTGGGAAGCTGAGTCCTGTCATTTCGCTGGTTTCACAAGATTAATTTTTCAGCCCAAGTAGGCTGCCTAACTCCAGCTGGGAGCCTAGGGGCAGGCTTGGGAACTGGTCCATTTGGAGGAGCTGGGGTTCTGGGGACCTTCAGCTGCCTTCCTAATGTGTGAGCTTTCCCCAGCACCATTCTTTCCATTCTGGGTAAGAGGAAACTTGTTGGCAGGCTTTGCTGCTTCTGCTGACTCTGAGCCCCCCACCCCCCAGCCCCAGCCTTTCCTCCCAGCCTTCCCCTTCCATTGGGAGTGTGTCTTGGGAGCTCTGAGCCAATTGTTTGTGCCCTAGTTTGGAGTTTTCTGTGGCTGGTTGTAGCAGAGCTATTGAGGAAGAGACTGGAGTTCCCATAGTACATAAGAGCAAAGTGGTTCTACCCTCGTATCCCATCTTGTTCACCCAAAGGGCTTGAGATGTGTGTGTGAGAAAGAGAACAACACCCGGGATGGGAGTAGGCTCTGACTAGTAGGTGTGGGTCTGAGCGTGGTCAGGGGTAAGGCTGACCTAGGGGTCACTTCTTTTTACACACACCCCCATTCCACTCCCTGCACAAAGTAAGGGAGCCCTTGCACACCCACAGTACTCTAGTACTTCCCTTTCTACCTCTCCAGTGTAGACCATAGTGCCCCCCTCCAGTGTCTGGACCTGTTCCCTGTCACCTCTCTAGTCCTTCAGTAAAACTACTTCCCCATGCCCCGCTACACGAATGTTCACAGTACATGGCACTTTTGGTTTGTAAGTCTTTCCCCTTCCTTAGGACTGAGCCATGGCCAGAGTCTCTGAGATTTTCTATCTCCTACCATCTCAAAAGATGAGGGAGCACCCTTGGTGATACTCCAAGTGTCTGTGGGGCGCCTAGGCTCTCAACCCCAACCTGGTGTCTTCTTCAGGTGGCCCCACAGCCCTCTTTCTACACACTACTGCTGCTGCCATTTGTTGGGTCTGCCCTGGGCTGGCCTGGGTCCCGGTCCTGTAGTGTCCAAGAGGTACTCCGCCACTACCAAGCTGTCATCTTCCAGGACTTGCAGGCTGCCATGCAGTGGGCTAGGCTGGGAGCACGGCGCAGAGAACCTGGGTCCCGACACCACCACTTCATTCAGAAAAACCTGACTGGAGCTGGTGGAGGTCAGAAACAACCAAGGGCCTCCTGTGATGCCCAGAAGGTATGGTGTAGGTGTGCCCCCCCCCCCCCGCCGCCTATTTGTTCCATTTTTAGGCTCCACCCCCCCCAGCCCCTGCTCTGGCTTTCCTCCCTTTCCAACTCAGGAGCACAGCATCCTACTGTCTATTGAGTCCTTGGGTCGGACTCTCCTTGGGAGTGTGGCTGGAGCTCCCCACAGTGCGCTAGAGAAAGCAGCACGGACAGTGGCAGTGCGCACGGAGGCAGTGATGCGCAGACACTGCCGGACATCCTACAGGGTATGCGTCCTCAGTCTCCCCTACCCCAAGGACTGTAGTGCCAATGGCCCGAGGCTTTGGACTCAGTTAGGGCCAACTGATCCGGCAGCAACCCGCTTCCCTCGTGGCTAAGCATGCATTGTGAGGTAAGGGCAAGGGCACAGGATCTGTATATACTGACTCATAGCTGGTCCCCACTAGCAGATCCTGCAGCCCATGAAGCAGCCAGCGCAGCCACGCAGCAGCCGGAGGCGGCTCCTGCTACGTGCCCTATACACCATCGCCACCTGCTGGGAGAAGCTCTTTGCGCTAAGTGCCATGGCCGCTGGAGAATTCTAGCACTGTCTGTGTTCTCTCTCCCACCTCGCACAGAAGACAGGAAGCAAACTGATTTGTTTTGATAGTGCCCTCTCTCTCAGCTCAGACTGCCTGCACTCAGAGGTCCAGGGTGTGTAAAAGAGAGTAACCTCTTCTATGGCTGTTTCTGCACACACCCATTGAGACCCCAATAAATGGAGTTAATGATGTGACCTGATTCTTATTTTTGCCTCACCGGCTGTGGGCCCTGGACTACCCCAGGAATCTGCTCTTCAGCGGGGTGGGGCTAGGGATCTGTACTTTACACCTGAGCAGTAGCAACAGTTGTAGCTCCCACATACAGCAGGGGGCGTGGGTGGCACGAGTGTCCAAGGCTCCCAAGGCAGGGAAGCCCCCTACCCCCACCCTACAACCTGGTTAGGGGGTTTAAAATGTCATGCATCCGTCCTTTCCAACTCTGGACAGGAGGAGAGGGTGGAAATGGAGAGGAGGGCAAGGCTGAGCTTGGTGGATTCAGAGCAAAACAACCGGATAAAGGAAACAGGACTTAGAGGAAGCCAGCCTTGCTGCCCTGGCCACAAACTAGACCAAGCCATTTCCTGCTGCCCCTGGGGGATGGGCAGGGTGGGGTGGGGGTGGGACGACTCCACTGGCTGCCCCACACTTGTCTGTCGAATTAACTAGACTGACCACAGTACCTGTATAAACCTTGAAATGTTTGCTCTTCCATGATTTCCCTGAGCAGAAAAAGGCAATGTCCCCAGGCTTCTTGCCTCATAATAGGATGTAGAGCTCAAAAACTTCAAGGAATATCTTGCTCTGTACCTGTCAGGGAAACAAGAGACAGAAAAGGCAATCTACAAGAGCAAGAAATCGCCCTGAAGTTCTTCATGCCTTTCTTCCTTGGTGCCTTAGTGCACGTGTGGTCTGCCCAATGGGACCTTCTGTTTCTTCTCTCATTTGAGAAAGCTGAGTGATGGAGAGACTATAGGACCTTCCTTGATTACACAGTCATGTACTAAAAGATCTGGGATCAGTTTTGGACCCAGGATATGCTGTGTAGAAGGGAAATGGAGCTGTGTGGACATCAGTATGCATTCTAATAATCTGCAATTCAGATTTCTGATGGTCTTACAAGCCACCTTGGAGCACAAATACAAGACATTTTGGTTCTGCTTTATGGGGTAGGAGGTAGTGTAGAGAAGTACAAGGTGGAATGTGCCAGAGAGGGCCTAAGTACACAGACTTTCAGCAAAGCCGGGTCCAAGATGATTCTCCCCTGAGAGTGCATAGTGTGTGTGTGTGTGTGTGTGAGAGAGAGAGAGAGATGGCGTGAGGGAATGAGGGGAAGCTGGGCCATTGCAGGACCCTGGCTGTAGGGCCTGGGTAGGTGGTCCTCTTGTAATGGGAAATACCCGTAAAGGAGAGCTGGATGGCAAGGGATTTGGACTAATGGTTTATATTGATAAGCTCTATTGGGCATGCTGGAGTATAGCCAATGTCCCAGTGCAGAGAAAAGGTATGATTTTGTTGAAATATAAGCCGTAGAAGAGCAGAATAACTGAAGAGTGGCTAAGTGGGATCTGGAGAAGGTTAGTAACAGTCTGGGCACTGAGCTGAAGGAGAGCAGTATGGACACTCCTCCATGGAAATTCCCATGGAGCCATTTTGTAGGGCAATCTGTATTTATCCTTTCCCCAGCTTTAAATCCCACTAGGAAATTATGCCAGTTCTAGTGAGCATCCCACATCTACTGCCCATCTTGCTGTCCTGTCCTACTGTTTACAGCTATCAGGCTGGGGAGGTTGGCAACAGGCTGTCCTGACTCTCACCTTCCCCTCTGAAGCTGAGGAAAGATCAAACCACAGCTTCCTGTGACTGCAGGTGAAACAGAGGCCTCAAGATTTTTGGGGCATAAATGTTGATGCCTAAGTCCTGTACCAGATTACATATTGAGAGGCCACCCATGGGTTAGGGTTAGGGTTTCTCTGCAGGAGCCCTGAAAGCATCAGCCTGTAATCACCATGACCCCACTAGAATGACTGTCCTCTTGCAGGACAAGGATAGGTACAGAGCCCTCAAAGAGGCTTGGAGCTGAAGGACAAGTTGAATGCTCCTGAGCCCCTAGATCCTGGTTCCTTTAAGCTCAGCTCAGGGACCTAAATGGAGGCTCCATGGGCTTCTTTGTAGTTGAGGACAGGGCATATCCTCATGCACACCTACCTTAGCCCAGCACAGAGGCTGTACCACAGTTGTTTGCTGGCTGCTGACCACCTAGAACAGACCTTGGAGATGCTGAGCCTCAGACCTGGGGCTGGAGAACTGCTATTATCCTGTTCCTCACAAACCTTGATTTTCCAGGGAGGTGGGGCTATGGCCCAGAAGGAAGGGCTGTGTGAGGATTACAGATGGGACCCCCAAGACACTGGCCAGGCCTGTGCAATTTCCTGCAGCCCAAGGAGCCAGGCCTCCATATGTAATCCTGGAAGAAGGGGCCTGGCAGGCTTTGAAAAGAGACTGGGTACCATGGCCTCCCACGACTAGGAGTCTTTGAAAGAACATCTGGAACTCGGGCAACAGCTACAGATGGCAAGCTAGTTCTTGGGTTTGAAAATCCCAAAGTTAATCTTGATTTTTCGACTTGTGTTAGCAATCCTGCCCCACCTCCCATGATGCAGCAGGGAGTAAGGGTTATAGCCTCTTCTGTGTTAGGACAGCACTGCCCTATCCTGCCACCTACCACACCAGCCCAGGAGTGCGGCAGAGCTGAGTGAAGGGAGCCGTAAGGATACACTTGTCTTCTGTGTATAGACTTGCAGGTAGAGCTCTAGTTTTTGATTGATCAATTGATTCATTCATTCATTCATTCATTCATTCATTCAATCATTCATTGTTTTTTTATTTTTTACTTTTTGAGACAGGGTTACACACACACACACACACACACACACACACACACACACACACACACACACACTGGGCTCCTAGAAGGGCAGCACTATGGACAGGACTCAAGGAGTAAACATCTGCTGGCAGATCTGGACGGAGAGTGCCCTGTGGACTTCTGGGCACAAGGCCCTTGCGTGTTGGGATCCCAGGACCTGCAGGTGTTCAAGAAGGCTGCCTGCTTCAGCGAACTGGAAATAAACAAGGCTCTCTACTCCAGGAAGCACATATTACTGGGGTGAGGGAAAAAGAGTGAGGCAGGTGTTGAGGCCCATTGTCCCTGCCAGTGGCCTTCAGGACCTGGGGGTGGGGGTGGGGTGTAAGGGACAGTCCCCATCCCTGCCCCCTCCTCAGGAAGACTTTGCTTTGTAAACTCAGAAAAACACACACACACACACATCCCGCCCACCCTGCTTCATTAGACTCTGGAATAACCAGCGAAGAGGTAACACCTGCTATGGGAAGTGAGTCCTTGTTTGGATGGAAATGGGAAGGTCAGGCCCTTGGCAGCTGTGCGGTGCCTGTTGTGGGGGAAGTGGGACATCCTGAGGTTCTAGCTCCTGGGTCACCTCCTTGCTGGGTAAATGGGATATCTGCTGCTGTCTGTGGAGGAGGCAAAAGTCTGACTGACCCTGGGAAGCTTAATGTGCACTGGCTAGGCCAGGTTCCATACCAGTTCAGTTGTGGCGGTTTGTGGCTTAAGAGAGAGGCAGCCAGGGCTCACCAGGTGAGCAGGCTCTGTCGTTGGACTGCCCCTGGCGCCCCCTACCCGGCACAAGGCCAGGGGTCAGGGCTGCAGAGCAAGATAAGCCCCAGCTTCCTGCACTTGCTCCCAGAGCTGTGACTCCCAACGCTTCCTGTTTTCTGGAGGGCAGACAGGGGTGTGGGAGACTGGACAAGGTGGTGGGGGCTGGGGTCATGGGACAGAGGGTGGAGTTACAGGGGAGGGGGCTATAGGGGATGGGATGAAGTCATGGAGGGCAGGGTGTGGATACAGGATGAAGCAGAGGAGGAGGAGCAGATTCCTGGGAGATTGGGTACAGCCATAGAGGCCAGGGTTATGGATGGCATATCCACAGAGTCAACAGGGGAAGCCTGGCTTGTGGGACACAAAGTAGGGTTGTGGGTGGACAAACCCAAGAGAAAGAATGAAGTTACAAACTGGGATTATGGGAAAGCCGTGAGGTCTTGGGATAAAGACCCCAGGGAACAAGAGCCAAGGAGCCCAGAGCACTATGGGCCTGGTGTGTACTTAGGCCCTGCCTTTTCCAGGTCCTCAGAAACAACTATCGTCTATGTACACTTTTTCCTCCTCGGTGAGTTCCCTTCCTGGAGCAGAAGTTTTGAAAGCTGTGTCGTGGCTGACCAGACCCCAGAGAATCTTTGTTTGGAGCTAGGCATGCTGGTACATACTCTTAATCCCAGCACTTGGGAGGCGGAAACAGGCAGAGCTCTGTGAGTGTGAGGCCAGCTGGGTGAAACAGCTGGGTGATAGACAGACCCTGTCTCAATAAAAATAAATAAATTAATAATGAAGCAATCGATAAATATAAAAGAGAAGAGAAAAGCAAAATGATCCGTTAGGAGCATGCCTGTGCTACCACGCCTGGCTTGATGCGTGGTTCTTAAGCTATTGCTCAGGGACATAAATTTTTAAAAAAAAAAATTTGTTGTTGTTGTTTTTTTGCTTTTTGTTTTTCAAGACAGGTTTCTCTGTGTAACTCTGGCTGTCCTGGAACCTGCTCTGTTGAGAGAGACTATGTTACAGACCTCCATTAGAGCAGTCTCACTAAAATGTCTTCCGTTTGTACTTTGAGCTGGGCAGTGGTGGCACACACCTTTCATCCCAGCATCCAGGAGGCAGAGGCAAAGTTAACTCCGAGTTCAAGGCCAGCCCAGTCAACAGAGTGAGTTCCAGGACAGCCAAGGCTATATAAAGAAACTCTGTCTCCAAAAACAAACAAACAAAAAAAAATTAAAGTGCATCCTTTAATTTTGAGGCGATCAAAGCATTTACTGCTCTTCCAGAGGACCTATGTTCAGTTCCCCGTCACCCACACCAGGCAGCTCACAACTGCTTATAACTTCCGTTCAATTAACTACAAATCCTCGAGTTCAGGGATTTGACACCCCCTGGCCTCCAAGGGCACATGCATGAGTACATGGTGCACATAAACT